GCGCCCGGGGGATGCGGGCGGCGGCGCGGTGAGGCCCGGCTGGAGCGGAGCGGGGCGTGGCGCGGCGCGTGGCTGCGCGGAGCCCCTGGCCATTTCTGTGGAGACCACTAAAACCCGCCGCTGCCCCGCTTCACGGGGGTGGGTCCGGGGAGCGGCCCAGGCAGCGGTGCGGGCCCTGGGCTTGTGTCGGCGGAGCAGCCACGGGGCTGCAAAAGCTCATGGCCCCGGAGCGGGCGGCCTGCGAGATGCGCTCCCTGCCGCGGGATCTGCACTGCAGCCTCGTTTTTAAGCGCTGAAGTGTCCTGCCTAAGATCTCCGCTTGAATGCTGCAGCGCGCTGCTCCCTGCATCATCTAAGTCAGGGGTGGGCCAAATGCAGCCATTCTGTCCAACCTGCAGGGCCCCTAAAAATTTAGGAAATTAATATTTATCTACCGCTGGCTGCCTGTAATGCAGCCATCGCTGGCTTGCCAAAACTCATTAAGCGGCCCTCCACCCAAAATAATTGGCCGCCCCTGATCTAAGTGGTCGTTTCCTTTTCCACCCTTCCTAGTCTCCTTTCCAGCAGCTGGGCCAGCGCATGCAGGACATTACTGGTGATGGTGGGGTGCTAAAGGAGGTTGTCAACACGGGCTCCGGAGAGCTGGTCCCCCATGATGCATCTGTCTTAGGTAAAACAGGTCTCCATGTGGGAGGTCTCATTCTATGATCATGCTCTTTGGAGAGCGACCTCTTTCATGGTGTGTCACTGCTTGTCTGCTGCATTGTTTCTGCATTGGTATTCTGGACCTAGGTGATCACTCCTCTCTGCACCCCATGCAGGAGTAAATGGAAGGTTTGTCCATTCTCCTTTTGTGCCAGAACACTTTCGGCCCTTGCCCTTCTGTGCCCCTTAAACCTTAAGGATGTGAATTCAGTTTAACCATAACCTGGCAGGAAATTCCAAAGTGTTTCCAAAAAAACCCCCCCAAAAAACCTGAAGAGTTATAACCATGATTAAGGAGAATTATAAAAAAAGAAAAACAAAGTTTGTTCATTTTGTGCAAGCTGTGGGTTTCGGTCAGGTGACTTAAACCCCCAGATTCTGCAGTAAAATCTTCTCTTGTGCATATTGGTGTAGGATGAACACCTTAAATCTTACTTAGGGCTTGTCAAAGTACTGTGAATATGAACCCTCTCAAAAGGTACCCTAGGTTGAACTTGGATATTTAAATGCTACCTGACTGGTAGCACCCCTCAGAGTTCTCATAGCCTGTAGAGTTTACCAACACTTCTCTTGCATATCCTGCTCTTGAATATGAGAAACACCTTTTTCAAAAACAGGGTATCATGAAGGAAAAAAGACCTTGCTTTTGGTAAGCATCTGAGTAGCAGCATCTGGGGGGGTTGAGGCTGGTGCCAGCCATACGTGCCAGATGGGACTTGGCATGCCTGCCAACCTAGGTGCAATGGGGTGGGGGTTGTGACCTGGGCCTGACCCCAGTCTGGCACACAGGGCTGTATCATCCAGCTGGGGGGCTCCACTTGGGTCTGGAAATTTGGTAGCAGGAGAGTGATGGCCTTACTTGCTGTGACAATTAATGTTGTCACTGATCCCCCACTGCCAGATTTCCAGACCCATGGGGATCTGTTTTTCTTGCTTGTCATAAGCATCCCAATTTTCACCAGCTGGTTTCGAGGGAAAAGGTGTGGGTTATATGTAAGAAAATGCAGTAATTTCTCATTCTAAGTCATTAATGTACCAGTATCCTAGCTTTGTTCTGCTTCAGATCTTGCCAACCAGCAGAGCGTGTGTGTTTTAACACAGATTTTATTCCTGGTGCTATGATGCTGACATAAAGGTTCTGGGGAGGGGAACAAACACAAAATCCATGTACACAGGGAAACAGTTTTGCTCTTAGGTCAAGGCACAGCTTGTATTACCTGAAAGATGGTTCAATCTGGTGATACTTTGCAAAATGAAGCAGGTTTGACTCCCACACCAAGAAATGCCTGTTAGTGGTTTTATGGTAGGCATAGGCTACCAATGTTCCCAGTAGAGAGTCTCTGGAGCAGGGTTATGCTCTGAACCTAGAGATTGTTCTGCCTTTTTCACCTCTTAGGGATGGCTTCCCTGAGTCAGTATTTGGTCAAAGTTGTGGGTAGGTACACTGCCTGCTGCATGTGATGTATCTGCAAAACACATGAAGCAAGGGTTTTTGTCTCCAGGGCTGAACATCCATCCTCAACCAGTATTAAACTGTTGTACTATTTTGTTAACTTTTCTTTTCTTGCCAGATAAGTCATGAAAAACTGTCAAACTAATTTTAAATTGCGAGCATAGTGTTTTATCATTTTAACAGTGGAGCTCCTCCAGGACCAGCTTGCTCCTCAAATACCCAGGCTGAATATGACCATGGTGCCTGCAGGAGGCAACAAGCTGGTGCTCAGCCCTCCTGCTGACCTGCAGTTGAACCAGCCCTGCACTCTGCCACAGCACATCCTCCACCCAGTGCCTGTGTCCCCAGGACCTGGACATACCCTACCAAGGCCAAGCAGCTGCAGCAGGGCAGAGCTTGGCGGCTGCAGCTTGGCAGCCCAAGGCTGGTTCCTGCTGACCCCACGCTCTGCCAAGCTGTGCAGGATCTGTCCACCAGCTCTTGCTGCCTGGCTTACCTGGCATTAGCCTGAAGCCACTGAACCCCTTGTTGGGGAATGGGTCGGGGGGAATACAGGAACCTGATTTTCTGCCTCTGCTCAGCTTGGGAGGCGGCTGTGAATGGCACAGCCTCCCTGCTTTCTCACTGCAGCCCCAGCCTAGACCAGAAGTGCCAAGTTGCATGCTTTGTGCTCAGAGCTGCCTGGCTGCTACCGGGGTTTAGGGGCTTCATTCACCTGCCAACTGTGTCTGCTGCTGGGCAGACCAGAGGGAACTGGTAGCCAGACCCTGTACAGCCGAGCAAAGTTCGGGGTTGGCAGGAGCCAGCCTTGGGCTGCCAAGCTGCAGCTGCTGAACACCTTGCTCTAACTGTCTAGCTGCACTGGGTCCTGGGGGCTGGATCCTTCCCCCCAGAGCTTGCATCCCCCACAGCCTCTGGCTTGACTGCTGGCCAGCTGGGTGCTGCCTGAGCTTCATGGGGCCCAATCATTTTTGGAGCTCAGGCAGTGCCCAGCCTGCCAGCAGCCCAGGCAGGGGCAACCCCCAGGTGCAGGCTCTGGAGGAAAAAAAGGATCAGGCCCCTCAGAGCTCAAGCAGCAAGCCAGTCCTGTCCCAGTCTCCTAGTCCTGCACCTGCTCACCATTGGAAAGTCACAACTGTGCAGGTGAAGGATAGCCAGAGATGGTTTTTTGCCTTAAGGTGCTACTGCTCTGCTAAGATGAACAACACTGAGCCAATTAACACTTGTTCAGATTACAATGTAAGGTGTAACAAAGCTCAAAGACACAGCCTTTGATCTGAATTCAGTCTATGGAGCCCTTTCATACATACTCCTGTGCTGCATGTCGGTCTCAAGTGGGATACGGGCAGCATGCAAGGTGTACTGGATGGCCCTGGGATTCGCATGAAGCACCCTCTTAGGTTGCTCTGAGACTGTGCATGTGGTACCTGCTTCAGCATACATCTGCTCTGTGCCTAGTCCATTGCACATCCTGGAGCAGTCAGAGCAGGCAGCACATGCAGCAGGGTCCTAGAACGACTAGACCAGGTCCTGTGTGTGGCATGGTCCCCAGCCAGCTGTTCAGGGGCATGTACTGCACGTGACGCCCACTTTAGGACATGCAGGGGATCCAACATGGAGCAGATAGATGCATGTTGGAGTGCATGTTGCACACTGGTACAGCCTCAGGGTAGCCAGAGTTGATGCCACGTGCAGCATGGTCATAGAGTAGCCAGTTTGGGGCCACATGCTGCATGTGGTGGCTGGAACAGACATGCTGAAAGGGGCAGTGTGTGTAGCTGGTCTGGGACATGTGCCACATGCAACACGCCCTGTTCCTACTCCAGGGCATGTAAGGGATCCACATCAGGGACTACTCTGTGGGTCTTATCTGGCCCCATGACACTCATCCTGCTCACAAGGCTGGATGAGTTTTTTTACTCATGGTAAAATAAAAACAAGTGTGTGCGCGTGTGGTTAGCAGTTATATCCTTAAGTGATTTATTGCTTGTACTGCTTGATATAACCTAAGGTCTTCTGTATGACCTCTCTTGTTCCTTTTGTGTTGGAACTGTTGCAGTTAAATATTCTGGGTATCTGGAATACATGGATAAGCCCTTTGACACAAACCGCTACAGGAGGTCTTCTAGACTGATGAAACTTGGAAAAGGTAAGTCCAAGCTGCAGAACTGTCACAGGAGTCATAGTTCCCTTCCATTTGCTTTTAGTTTTGGCTGTATTTAAACAGGCTAGCAAATTTTATGCCTGTGGTTCTCAACCTTAGACTCAAGGCACCTGTTGGGAAATGCCAGCTCTTATTTTTCTGTTGTCAAGAAAAAAGCAAAAACTTACAGAAAAATTGTTCTGTTGTAAACAACTCTGACCATAGAATGTTTTTATTGCTATGAATTCCTGTTTGAAATCCTTTGGGCTTATCTAGTTAAGTTTGCATACCTAAAAATGCGACTAGTGAGTAGCACCCTGTGGTACCCCATGGTGCCACTGAGAGAATCACTATTTTGTGATTTTGTTTTTATTAATTTTTTTTTTTATATAATAGCATGTAATTTTAAAAGTTAGCCTTGGTAGTTGTGATGGTACAAGCTAGCAGGCAAAGTAGATTTGCACCTTCTAAATTAACCAAAATATATGTATATAACACAAGCTTTTGTGAGCTGAAGCTCACTTCATCAGATCTATGAAAGAACATGCACAAAGCAGAGTATAAGAAAAGAGAAGTTAGAACACAAAAGACAAGGGAGTGGTAGAGGAAGAGAGAAGAGGGAAGGGAGAAGAGCGGTGCTGGGAGACAAGTAAGCAAGTAGTGAACTCATAGGAACTAAGGAGTCAGAAAAGCTATCCCAGGTAATGGGATAAGAATCCCTAGTCCCTGTTTAGACTATTTGTAATGCAATCCAAGTTGTGAATGATTTCTTGTTCCACAGTATTCCATTTATGTTAGTTTTTAAAAGATTGCTGTCTGAGAACAGCCACCATTAGGTCATCAGCTTGCATGTCTTTCTGCACCCGATTTCAGAACAGTGTTTGTTTTTTCTGTCACACAGGGATTGCCCCATCTTTCCAATGTAGACAGAAGAGGGGCACTGTAAGTAGGTGATGACTTCTCCATGTATGTGACATTTATGGAGTTACAAGTGAATGAACCTCAGATTTCATAGATTTCATAGACATTAGGGCTGGAAGGGACCTCGGAAGATCATTGAGTCCAGCCCCCCGCCCGAAGGGCAGGTAGTCAGCTGGGGTCATAGGATCCCAGCAAGATAAGCATCCAGTTTTCTCTTTAAGGTGTTCAACGTAGGTGCTTGAACCATCTCTGATGGCAGGCTGTTCCAGAGCTTGGGGGCTCGGACAGTAAAATAAATTCTTCCTTATGTCCAGCTTGAAATGGTCTTGCAGTAGTTTATAACCGTTTGACCTTGTCATCACTTGGGGCGCTCTGGTGAACAAACGTTCCCCCAGATCCTGGTGAACACCCCTGATAAACTTGTAGGTGGCCACCAGATCACCCCTGACCCTGCACTTTTCCAGGCTGAACAGTCCCATGGCTC